TACATTGTAACTATCACTATACTGTTTGAAATGTACATTAAGTTAAGAAAAGGAAGATAATGTTACATTTATAAAATTTATGCAGATATTTTTAAAAACTTTAACTATTTAATGTAGTTTTATATTACTAAATGTTATTCAAATTAACAAGTGTACCAAAGTTATATTCGTATTAATCTTTTGAAAATTTTGATCCACATCAGTTAACCGGAAAGAAGGATGTCATTTCAATATGGTGGAACGATTTTGAAGTGCTCATTATTTTTTGTTTCGTTTTAAACAATAGTATGAATTGATATAAATTTTGATAAGGTGCGGACTTGATGATTAACGAAAAGCGTAATAGCACCATAAAATTGTATAAATATCAATGATTGACGTGTACTCCATAATAGTTCACGTTTTTACTTGAAATGGATTGTCATTACTACAACGATTATAAAGTTTGTGAAAATTGCATGTACGCTGTGTTTTCAAAATGTATTAACAATAAAAATAGTGCATTATACTATTGGTAACTATTATCGAACATTGTAATAATATAACAGTTTGGTGTAAATTGTTGTATAGTATTGTAAAATTGTGACAAGTTCACAGATTCATCAAACAAAATTTACGAGCGCATTGTGTAAATATTATGTATTCTGAAATGGATTCTGCTCCAAAATATTCAACTACAAATATGTTAAGACAGCTGTTTCAGCACATTTTCAGTTAAGTCATTTGCAATATTGTTTGTTAGGAATAAGTCAGTGGAAGATTTGTTAATATCTAGTCGTGAAGTTATGACTAATGTAAGCTCCACTGGTTTGGAAAATCAAAATTCAACAACAAATATAGGAAATGGTATATCAGATAATATTCAAGAAACATTGAGTGGAGGAAGTGGAGAACGTTGTAGTCCAGTTTCTAGCCCAAATTTATCTCCACGTCCTAGTCCAAAAGTGCGTAATAAACGAGATCACTCCAAAACAAATTCTGATTCAAACACCAAAGAATCTAATAGTATGAACAAATTGGATGAACATCAGTTACATGTAAGATTAATGTTAAAATACCTTAGTTTTACAAAATTTTCTTTTAAAATTTTATTGTAACATAATTTTATATTTCATACCTACAACATGATATAATAACAACAGGATATAGCAAACAAATCATCAGATTCTTCTCAAGCTGTGAAAAGTCTTCATGATGGAAAAAAAGAAACACGTAGTAGTGAACGAAATAAGAAGAAGTCTTGGTATAATGTTTTATATCCATCTTATAAATCTAGATCTGATGATTTTAAGCGAATATTTAAAGATGTACCAGATGATGAAAGATTAGTTGTTGGTAAATAATTCTTTTTTTATATACTTATATGTTGATATGATTTTATTATATACCATTAAGTTTACTATATAATAAAATGTTTAATGATGATTAATAATATTCTATACTATTTTAATAGTAAGTATAACAGAATGTATAATGTCTAGATTATTCATGTGCACTACAGCGTGAAATATTAGTTCATGGAAGACTTTATGTTTCTCAAAATTATGTATGTTTTTATGCAAATATCTTCAGTTGGGAAACTGTAGTATCTTTACGCTGGAAGGATGTTACATCTATTACCAAAGAAAAAACTGCACTTGTTATTCCAAATGCAATTTTAATATGCACTGCCAATGATAAGTTTTTTTTAACATCTTTTGGTGCAAGGGATAAAACATATGTGATGTTATTTCGTGTGTGGCAAAATGCTCTTATTGGTAAGGTATGAAAATTATATAAATATTTATGACATTACAGAACATTCATTTAAATTATTTTCATATAAAATTATATGAAATCCAACAGGTATTTTTTAATTAAACATGTAAATGTTTAATTATCTAAATTAAGGATTGATTATAATAGTTGTAAAATGATTAAAATTATCGATATTTGTGTATTAAACTTACCTTTTATGCTGTTATTCAATGTCTATGCATTGTTAATGTATAATATAGGGTTTAATTACAATTTATTTTATTCATTACATATTATGTTCAGATTATGTTTCTGAAAATAACATTTCGTGTTTTAGCCAATGAATGCACCTGAAATGTGGCAACTTGTACATTCTTGTTATGGAGATGAATTGGGTTTAACATCTGATGATGAAGATTATGTTCCACCATTACCTCCAGCTGATGAAGAAAAGTTATCAACAAGATTATCTGTAGAATCGTTCTCAGAGGTAAATTGTAATATGACCTTATTAAAAAAGCAGTTTAAAAATATTAAACGAATTTATTACAAAATTGTTAATTTGATTGCAATCAACATATGATGTTTCTAGTTCCCAATATCTTATATTTGTATTAATTCCATCTTTTTGTCTTGTACTTTAAATTAAAGGTAGAAGGTAGTAATGTGGAACACTCTGTAATGGGAGCAGATGTAATTACTGAAACAAAACCAGATGTTCATCATTTGCCTAGACCAGATCCTATTATTGATGCAACAGATCTGAGTGATACAACAGAAAGTGAAGCTGAAAAGCATGCAAGTAGGTTTTAAAATTATGTTAGAATTTAATGTAATCTATTTGATTATAATACACTGCACTTCATAACTATACAACTATTCAAAAGTTTCTGATTTTTATATATTACAAACAAATTTAAATAAAAACAATAGTGCAATAATTGTTGCATGGCTTGGATGTTTTACTGACTTAAATACTCTGGATTTTGAATGACTGAAACATCAATTCATGTTTATTAATAGAATCGTGTATCACAATTTTTGTTTATTACTATTTCAAAATTATATTGTTGTGTCTAGAATGTCTATACAAAACACAAATTACTATGGAAAAAAATTATTTCCATTACTACTTACCTTTAACTTTTAATTAATTACATTACAATATTCTGTTACAAATCTAAAAACTACACATCTTATAATTAGAAATAAAACTTTGCTATACTCATATGATTCTTGTTTATATTTAAAATGATTTGAATATGCTTTTAATGTTTAAATTTATACTTTTGAAATATACAAGCACATAGGTATAAAAATGGTTATAATAAATTATTTATAACATAATTTTCGCTAGAAGTATATGTTCAATTACTTATATTTTATTACAATTTTGAAAGCTATATTTGATTAAAAAAATTCATTTTATATGTTATTTTATGATATATTCAATCGTTGTGATTTCAGTAAAACCAAGTGTTCGAAGCAGTATACTATGCACTTCACCACATGAAGGTCGCCAAATAAGCAAGGCTACATTTCCTGTTCATATTGATCAATTATTTACTTTGTTATTTACAAATTCAAAATTTTTCTTAGATTTCCAAACTGCTCGAAAAACTACTGGTAAGGCAGAGTATTTCACATTTTTACTTACAAGAAAAATATTATTTAAATAAATAAAAATAGTTCTATGGTATAGTTATTATTAATACAAAAAATAACTTGAAAACATTGTACCAATAAATGTTTTCATTGTTTTAGATTTAGTACAATCAGCATGGACACAAAATGAGCAAACTGGTCAGAAAGTTAGAAATTTATCATTTACAATAGCACTGTCTCAAGCTATTGGACCAAGAACTTGTCATGTTTCAGAAACTCAGGTTACTTTCGTTAAATTACTACTAATGAATCATATATAAACTTTCGATTACTCTCAGATTTACTAATTATCTGATAAATATAAATTCTTATTCATATACAAAACTAATTTAGGATATATTTTTAGATAATGGTACCGTGTAGCAGACCAGGACATTTATACAGTATCGATGTAGAAAGCGTAAATGGTGGTATTCCGTATGCAGATTCGTTTTCCGTATCAATTCATTATTGTATTACCAGCATTTCTGAAAATGAAACAAGTATCGCAATTTATGCTCAAATAAAGTATAAAAAGAATGTATGGGGTTTTGTAAAAAGTAAGAATTTATGGCATGTGTTTTTTTTTTAATTTATAAGTGGTAATTATATATTTTAAACAATAATAACAGGCGTTATTGAGAAAAATTGTTGGGCTGGCTTAGATGAATATTTTACGAGTTTAATAAAAGCATTAACTATAGAATGTGAAGAAAGTAGTGGAAGTGGAGGAATAAAGAGGAAAACAAGAAGAAGACGTCGTGCTACGGGCCCTGGTATTTCTCTACAAACTCTTTCCTCAGATCACACATCCCCCACTTTACAAAATTCTTTGAATTTACCACATATTAATGATAACACTGGTATGAAATCAATGGTATAATATTCTACTGAGATAGAATATATAAGTTTACAAGTTAGTGGTACTTACAACTTAAAAGTTGCAGCACACATATTTTATATTTACAGTTTCTGGAACTCGGGGTGATTCCAACATGATAATTAGTTCAATACTTTTGATTGCTGTCTTGTGTTTGATGGTAATTAATGGTTTGTTATATTATAAACTATGGGGTTTAGAAGAAGCTGCAGCTTATACCATTATGGATTTGCATGTATTAAAGTATGTATTATATATCTAATATTCAATGATATATTACTATTTAAAAATGCTGTTATATTTAAAATTATTTATTTTATAGAAATACACCAAAGACTGAAGAAGATTGGATTCACTTGTTGCAACAGCAAGAAAGTTTGCATAATGTAGAAATGAGAAAATGGCAAAGGGTATTACATACAGCTGCACAATTACTTAGACAAGTAAAACGTTTATTTTATCTTTACAAAATTATAATAATATAATAGTGCACAAAGTAAATCCTTTTTTGAATTTTGATTTTAAAGACAGAAGAATCACTAACAGAACTACAAATGAGTATTCACCCTACTGCAACAGAAAAAATGTTTTCTGTTTTAAAACCAAGTTTAAAGAGCTTTAATTCACGTACAGAAGAGCGAAGTCATTCAGAAATGTAAAAAGATATGTAAAATATTTGGGTAATAATAATGTGAGTATTATAATACAATACATCATTAAGAATCATGATTCTCGTAAACTTTAAGTGTACTTAACAACAAAAATGTTATACTAATTATTATTGTACTTGCATATAACTTATAATTAGGTATACAAGTGCGCTGTGATGATGATGATGATGATGATTGTTGATAACTCCAAATGCGCAACAACATGCATGCAAACTATTAATGGTCGATAAAAATGTAATTTAAATTCATTCGTTTTTATTGTTTTGAATATTTGTAGTATATTAAATGTAATTTTTTTTCGTATGGTTAAAATTAAGTTACTATTAAGTTAAGCTAAGTTACATTTTTAATATATTCTTTATATAATCACACACCCAAACATACAGGGTGCTCCGTAACTGGTGGTATAACTCTGGAGGGAGTGATTCAACATGAAAAAATATACCTAAATTATAGAATAAATTTTTTTCATAAAAGACAGTTTTCGAGAAAATTGAATTTAACTATTCGCTATAAACTGTTGCTTTCCGCTCATATGTATTTCGCAATGAAATAGTCTACGCAGAAGAGAGTATAAGTAAATCTTCTACAACTACAAGAAAGAATCGCACAGGCTTTTAAATAATTAAAACGTTCAAATAAAATATCATTAGTCCATAATTTTCTGATTCAAAGAGCAAGGATTTGTAAGTGTTAATAGGGACTTCACTTTCAACAATTCGTTCAGTAATGTAAATTCAAATTAAGGAAATCGTTAATAAATGTATTATGAGTACTTATTATAACATTGGCATCACTTATTAGTACAAACATAAGGCCGAGAGATAGTTAAATACACGTATATACAACGATTTAAATATTTAAATTTAATTTTTTCAAAACCTAAATTTTTTATAAACAAATTTTATTCTATATTTTCGATTTATTTTTTCACCCCTTATTAAAATGGCCCCTTTCACGGTTGCATCACCAGTTACAAAACATCCTATATATGAATATGCAATGAGTTGCATCAAATCGTACCAGACAGTAACGCGTGGTGGTGGTTTTGTTTGAAATGGCGTGCGATGCCCGAAAATAATCATTCTGATACCAATCGTCCAACAGTTCGCATAGAAACAGCTGCGACTTTATGTGGTACATATTGCTGAATTGGTAACTGATATACCGACATTTTAGTTCATATTATGCCCGTTACTCTTCACAAAGAATGGTTTTTGAATTATATGCTTA